CGCGGGCTCAGGTGTCGACCCATTAAGGTCGAGTATTTTTTGAAGTTATCCGCTGACAATTTACTCGTTTTCAAATGATCGCAGGCTTACGTTTACTTATTTTTTTAAATTCATATCAAATATGTTGTGTTTATGTCAGTATCGCCCCTCACTATTACGATTTTGATTTCAAACTGACCTCAGACGCAAAAATTCAGCCAGTTTTTTTAAAATACAGGCGGGTAAGATCTTTTCTAACCATGGTCACGTGTTGGTCACGCTCCACGTCCAAATTTTATGCTCTGATTGGTTAAAATTTGACAGGTGAGTTCATGCGTAAAATTTATGCAGCATCTTCCCCATCTTGAAAGTTGTTTACTTTGACAGCTGAAGCTAACAGAGTTTTGAGTCAACATGTGATGTTTTTAACTGTCTTTTTCCACTGGATGTAAAAAATGAAATACAGCTGCTATCAAGAGTGTTCTCTTATTCATGGCTGGTTTGTTTATTGGGTTTTTGGTTGAGAAATGCGTCGCTTGTCAAAGCCGATAATCCGATTTGGGATGGCATCGTTTTTGTTTTTCACCTTGCTCGGGATGCGTACGAGAATTATAAAGGTTCAAGCGATCCTTGCCTTACTTGATAGCTTTCAGGAGCTGCATCTCGAAATATGGTAAGCCTGAGTAATTATTGTATTTATATCTAATTTCATGAAGTCCAGCGGCGCAGTTTATGAAGCTAGTTTATGCACGTTTGTATAAGATTTGACTGAGACACTGATCTGACCTAGTATGGGGTTTGATATAAGCTTAAGCTTACAAAACTTTAAAAAGCCTTTAGCCGATATTAATTCACCGTAAATAGAAAGAAAAAACTTTCCGAAGAATATTTAGTTATAATTTTGGCTGTAGAAAGAAAGCTTTGAGCGATTTTCTTGTGGTGAGTTCATCTTTAAAAAAAGCAAACACCGGGAAACCGGCGGCTTAAAACATAAACTTAATCTTTAAGCTTACTAGTAAAGACTTGAGGATTCTTAGAGACACTTAAATACTCAATTGTTTTCGTGAATGAAAATTGTTATCTCTGTAAATGTTCTCCCGAATTATATTTCTTTATTGATTGTTGGTAATCTCAAAAGTGTAATTTTCATCGCTTTGCCGTTTGTTTTCAGGCGTTCATAAACATCGCGCATCGCTTGCAGGAGTAATCAAAATGCCGAGCGTATCAAACGCTTTTTAACATTACACATCGTTATAAAACCATTAAGAAAAAATAGAGTCAATAAATTCTTTATCACGTTGAAGCGTAACTCTTTTAAAATTTCTTCGCAAATTTGGCGCTTGTCAAAAGTTAGAACCGGCTGGCCGTATGGGTGATTTTGGAAATTTTTTGAACGGTTTCGTGCTTCGATAATCCTGAGTATTGAATGAATGCAATTTGTCTTGAAAAATTGTGTAATACTGCATTTTGTACGAGGTCGGTATGATAGAAAAAGCGCCTCATAGTACTCTTTCTCCTCAGATGTGGTGTATAAAAAAAAAATAAATAAATAAATAAAAGAATGGTTTGCACGCACCCAGATTTATTGGCAAGAATTTGTAAACTTGTCGAGCGCAAAAAATTCGGCCTGATTTGTTTTCCAAGAACTTGTTTTCCACGCCTCATCTACTGTGATCAAGAGCCATTATTACTCATAAATGTGACCGAAGACTATTTTTTGTCTGTACATATAAGGCTATGTCAACTCGACGCAAGGTTTGTTTCACTCCAAAATCACTTAGCTTTTCCCTCAGAAGTCATATGAAAATTATTGTTTGATTTAAGTTACAAATTTATCAATGGGAGCTTCGCTTTTAGCTGTGGCTAAATCTATATATTATTATTGCGTTTAGTGGCAAGCCTGAAAATGAAATTATACCGGAAAAATAGTGTTGTCTATTTAATGCCATGGAAAGGGCTGAATAAAGTCAATATCAATCAAAGATACACGTACATTGCTTGTTGTAGTTCAGTATACGTTCCAATCCATTTAGTTAGTGTTTTCATTATTAATTTTCCATCAGTGAGCTTGAATTAATTTGATTTGGGGGCCAGAAAAGAATGGTTAACAGTCAAGTGCTTTTAATGTAATTTTTAATGGTCCATGTTATATTTTGTTTACGCCATCAAAATAGTGGAAGGCCATTGAATTATTAATTTTCATGGGTCTTCAAAACGCCATAAAAAAGCCATGAACATTTTTCATGATCTATTAATTTTTCAATATTGATGGAATAACTATGGGTTTTTCATGGGCCATGAATTCAGTGGCCTCACGAAAAGACCATGAACTACAAAACCGTGAAAATCCTTCTTTGTAATTCATGGCATTTTCAATGCCATTAAAAGGCCATGAAAAGCAACCTAAAATTTTCATGGCGTTTTCATGAGTATTTCTTGGATTTGCCCAAAACTTAAGGGTTTTCATGGCCCATAAAAACTGAAAGATTAAGAGGTTTTAATGGCTTTTTTAATGATTTTTCATGCTTTTCCAGGGTGGCATGCCATGAAAATCCTTTGAAAATCAAGTGAATTTACCATGAATTAATGCATCGGATTTTCATGGGTTTTAGTTCATAGTGGGAGTGTAAATAACTTTTGCCGGAACTAACCTTGACCTGCCGTGTTTATCGATGAACGAGCAAGTTCTTGCGATCGAAAAGCAGTTTCGTTAAATGGAACAAAAATCTGAAACCAGATTGAGAAACCAATCTGAACGATCCAAGTGCGGAGGTGTAACGTTCAGATTGCAATCTTGGATTGGTTTAGTCGTTAATGGAATGAAAAATCAAATTTCAGATTGCAAAATCCAGTTTTAGATTGGTCAAAAGGAACGCGACCTAAATTTCTTCACGTGTGAAAAATATCGTTCGCCTCTTGATTGGCTAGAATTCAGGTGCGTACAAAAATTTGTGACACAGCATTTCAGGGAGTATGTCTCCGTATGCATGCAATAATGTTTAAAAAACAAACATCATTGTTTAATTACTGGTTAAAAATTCGAGCTCGAAAGGGCTAGAATTTTTGCCAGTGATAAAACACGTGCCGTGAGTGCATTGAACAGCTTCAGCTTTCATTTCAATAGGATTGCTAGATATTGCATTTCTCCTTATAAAACGCGTTGATCGATTGAACAAATTAAAACAAAAGCAGCAAAAATAGCAAATGCTGACCATGGGCAGAAATATTTAATAGTTATGCAAATGCACTATGCACTATGCAACTGAAGTACACAGTTTAAGGTTAAGCTAGTGTAGGAGCTGCCCGGAAGTTTTCTCGTAATTGGCCGCAAGAAACAAGGACATGTCATTCATCCAATTGTTTTAGTATTATTTGGGGTCAGGGAAATGCACCATTGGTGACTTCTCTGCCAAGCAGGAGCTGCATGCTCAGTTCAAGAGTTTACTTGCCTTCGCAATAAGGCTACACAAATAAAAAACTTTCAACAGTTAACCGACGACACGAGAGGAAAACAACTGCTCGAGTAGGGTGTCGCTAAATCTAACTGTATACTACATAATGAGCTTTGAAAATTTTTAAGAAATCGAAAAATGGCAGGAATAGGCCATTTCCGAGTTCCCCCGGGCCTCTGTTTCAAAACGAGGATAGGTGGAGAGCCTTTGATATGGAAATCATTTTTCATTCTCATACAAATAAAACTCATTTTCACAAGAAAGGTTGTGCACTTAGCCTCATTTTGAAAGTGAGGGTTTTTGGAACTCGGAAGTAGCTCATTGAATTATGTTGTTTGTGACTGATTTCGCTCGTTCCTTCTTAAAAATGGTTGTTTCTTGATATGGACCGTGGTTTGGTGCTTTCTCAGTTAGAAATCTTTGTTTTTCGTCTTAAAATAAGTTCTGACGGTCACGGTTTTTTTTCCTTTAAGGATGGACTTTAGCTTAACATTTTCTGTCTTCGGCTTATACATTTTGTCAAATTTTTGACTCTTTATCTATATGCAAATTAGGATGAACGTTTTAAATAAAAATCAGAAAACCCCGTCTTTCGGCCCTGAGGCTGAATTCAAAGCCCTCCCCTGACCTTTCAGTTTGCTGAGTTTTACCCGGATCTAAAGGTCCTTACACGCGATTAACTCCGCAAAGTCTATTGGACAATATGCCTCCTGAATATTTATGAGTTTTTGAAATTCATATTCATGTCATCTCCAACAACAGGCATAAGGTCAATCCGTTATCGAGAACACCCTCGGAACTGCGAGTTGGTGTTCTTATAATTATAATTGATAGCTTAACTGGGGATTGTCCGTAACAGCTGGCTGATGCGGACTCTGGTTACGGAGACAGTTACGGACTGAGACGAGCCAGCTCGGTTAGCCGAGGTTGGCTCAGCACATACCTTATTTCCTCGAAAAAGTTTCATTGTGTTTACATGAGAAGGCGGGGTGTCAAGATCGCGGCAAGCGGGCCATGACGCGCTCTCATATAAAAACAACGAAAGTTTCAGCAGGAAATAAGGCATGTGCTGAGCCAACCCGGCTAACCGAGCTAGCTCACCTCACATAAACAGACCATTAATGTTTTTCAATCCTCTCAAGTTAGAGTTGCTGCACCATGAGTCTTCTTAAAACCCAATTAATGCTTACGTTGACCTTCTCTGATTGGCTAGAAGAGACTCATTTGCATTGAAACTTTGAGGTGACGCTTGCCGTACAATGTTACTTTTCTTCTACGGTTCCGAAACTGTAGAGATACCTTTTGCAAGCAAGGAGACTTTCGAAAGGAAAGGAAGTGCGTTGAAAAGACCAGTCACCCAGTCTTTTCGATGTCTTTGCATGGAATGGCTTAAGAAACAAATCATCAATTCGTCCAAGAGAATAAATGCTGTGACACTGAATAGTACCAGACTACAAATTTAAATAGGAGCTAAGCCATAAATAGTTTAAAGTCAGTATAATTTTTATATTGAACTGAACGCGCCTTCACCGGCAGTAAGTGCAGTGAGTGCCACACTGGAGTGATAAACGGGACGTACGTGTAACTAGTCTAGCAGCCGAATAATTGTTTTAAACATTACTTTATCTTTATTCCACTTAACTTTTTAGCAGAATTAAATCTTTTTTTCAACGACAAAAATGGTTTAATGATGGATGTTTTAATATTTGGATTTCTCTTGCTTTTAAATCTAGACACGAATGAACAATTTAAGGAAATATGATTGACAGTTATCGGCGGGATCAAACATATCACAGGACATGGTCCGCTGAGGCAAAACATATCCAGACGTTTTAAAATAAAAGTATCTGTAGTATATCTCTTACCTACGCAGCGTTTATAGTTTGTCTTAGAATTTATGTAACCTCTTCGGCAAAGACAGACGGGAGGCTTTCCTACTCGGTTACTGCAGAGGTGATGACATCCTCCTTTATTTCTTCTACATTCGTCTACATCTGTAATGGTACAAAAAGGATTAAAGCACGCTTGTGTATAAGAAAGGGGTTTTGAAAAAGTCCAAGTGAACAGTCAGCCGTTGCTTCGGTTATTCCCAAAAAAGGAGGGAAAAACAGTGATAAAGAAGTTATCAAAAGAATCAAAGTCGACGGAGAAGGCTTAATAAACCTTTTTGACTTTGTTTGTTTGCTTACCCATTTCAAGTCATTCGACGCTCATGTTTTCAGTTTTCTTTTTTCATGCTTCAATATCAAAAATAAAAGGGTAAAATTTGAGAGAATCAAATCTTTAGAGGTACCAAATGCTGCTGTCATGAAGCTCTTTTAGAGCTCTAATTCATTCATACTTCCTGAAACAAAGCTCTATTATTTCAGGCCCAGGGTCCATTGTTTCAGTTGGCTGTTCGTCAGGAGTAGTCAATCGATAAAAATAGGTAGCAATCATCTGATTTTTACCGATAGATAACGGAATTCGGCGAAAATGGATAAACTAAATTGCTGTGTCAAATCGATATTATCGTTTTTTCTTGATTTTAACTATTTATAACGGAAGTGCGCCATTGTTGTTTTTTGGCATTAATTAGATAGTACAGCTAAGAAAGCCACCCAAGAGTAACAACTGATCAAGAAACATGAAAATGAGAAATTTGGAAACTTTACGCACAAGTTTCTCTTTATTTAGTACATTATAACAAAAACGGTTCGGTTTAATTACATTCAGTTCTCGTAGGCAAGAATCACGAGAAATACAACCTTAGATAAAGATTTCCTAGCCTGAATTTCAGACATCGATCCCCTCGGGTCGAAGGGATGTCTGAAATTCAGGCTAATAGATTTTCCTAGATAGATTTTCACCGTTTTTCGCTATTAATGGATAAAAGCCCCTTGATTGCTAATGATTTTAATCGATTTCGATTTTTATCTATTGGCTACTCCGGGATGTAACTATACCCGGAACTACACCGACGTTTTTTTGAAAGGGCGGTAGGTCTAAATTGTGCCAACAAACCTGGCCAATATCAGCCATCAGAAGAACATTTTAAACCTGGTTTTAAAGGAAAGATAAGATTTTTCAGGTTTTTTAAAAGATTATTTTTAAAAGTGATAATTGTTTGATCTTTCGACCCTCAATTGCATTTGCACCTCAATTGTCAACAAATTTACTGCTTGCATGTGATCAGTTTTTATTTTCGGCTTGGTTTTCTAAGTTTACTTTTGTGCAGTTATTCCCCTGAATTCCTGTAAGCGGGCAAGTTCTGTGTACCATTTGTAAAACCACTCTCACCTGATACATTCTAGTTATCTACTTTGGCAATAGCTTTGAAATAAGCATTTCACATTCAACTGAAAGTTCAAATGAATGGGTGGAAAGATCTCTTTCTGGCTCTAGTTCGGGGACCGTTTTTTTGATTTAGTTTTAGTTTTACTTGCAAATCAATCCAGGTGACATCTGATCATTGGCTTACCCTCACTACAACTATATCCTTTCCATCCCGAAGCACAACTGCATATTTCCGGATATACACAGGTCCCTCCGTTGCTGCATCCCTGACTGCAGATTGCTGTAAATTTAAATCATACTTGATCACGTTACTCTTGGCTTTGTATCTTTCATGAATTCCTGTATTTAAACACAAACCCATCGTTGGGGCTGGTGTGTAGGGGTCCCAGGCCTTCCTGTCTTATAATTTGACGAACGGGCTTTATTTTGGTCTGTCGGTTTTTTAAAAGGTTTAATTTGTACAAACTATTTCGGGTACGTTATCACAAAATGCTTTTAATAACTGATTTGGACTTTCCCGCCAGAAAATGCGACGTGGAATCGCAGGTCTCGGTGTTTTGTCAATTTGCAAAGACTTGGGCAATAGGATATTTTTCAGGCAATTAATTTAAAGAAGGATGAACTCTCTTTAAGCAAATGTAAGCACCTGTAGTTAGCTCTATTGCCTTCCTTATTATTAAAAAGAGAATTTTTGGTGGTTTCATGCTGTTGTCAAATGTAGAAACCTGATTGGCTTTTTGCCTTGGGTATCGAAAAACTCTAGCTATCTACCACGTTAAATGTAATGGGCGGTTTCTTTCTTCTTTTTGACGTAAACATGGATATTTCTTATGGTCAATTATCTCGCGAAAGTTCGGTCACAGGCACCACGCCAACTTAGCGCGGTAAACGGGTCATTTACCAAAGTAAAAGTGTCCCGTGTAACTGCACCTAATGGTTCGCCCTCGGTTCGCCATTGTAAAGCATGATATTAAAATGAAACAAGGCTGTTCGAGTATACTACATCAAACATACGCCGTTAACAGTAATGCCGCAAGTTATAGCTAGTAATTATAAAGCGATGACGCTAGTCAAAGTCCCAGTCGTTCATGCCAAAATGAAGCTCTTTGTGGTCGGTCAGATTTCCTGATTGACATGCTAGTGGCAGCATTAAAAAACGAAAGGCTCCAGGGGGGTTTCAGATGGGTGCAATTTCGACAATTTCGTCTAATATTGGGGGAGGGGGCGGTTCCTTGGTTCCTCGGCAGTTAGGATTTGCTGAACCGGTATGTTTCATTTGCTCATGAACTTGGAGCACTAAACGGTTGATGACACCCACTTGTTTACCAAAAAAAAGGATGGATGAAGTTCTTACAACGTCACTTCCACTAGTTGCCAACGGTCCCTCGTCCTAATTAATAGCATTCTTAATTCTATCAACGGGTGTAGGGACACCGAACAAGGCTGGCAGTGAACTGGTTGGCCAGTTTGTAATGCCTTTGATTCTTTTCGTCTAGCCCTTATTGTGAGCCTCAGCCATCCGTCGACTCTAAGATTTTTTCCACCAGGGAACCCTTCCAATACTTCTTCGACATGCCGTTAGCAATCTGATTGATTTTTTCTCCTGGTGAGAGCCTCTCTTTCAAGCAATCCTGGACAATAATCTTACTATTCCGCATGGATCGTAAATCCAGGACAGACATGGCTGCACTTCCCTCTTCGTGAGTTTCACTGACGTTCACATTAACAACCATCAAGCATTCATCAGATTTCCAGTCCCAGTTAACCCAAAGTACCTTGTGAAATTGTTGCACTTGGCCATCTGCAAACTTGCGGAGGAAATATCATTAGACCGAAATTTCCACATTTAAAGCGACCATCATTTAAAATGCTGACGCCTCGCGTCAAAACTTCCTTGCTTTCTCAGCGTCATCTACAGAGTTTACAAGGTTATCTATGCAGATGTTATGAAGGAATTTTGTAGCCAATTCTTATTCACCAACGAAACCCTCTAGGTGTACTTTAGGACAACCTGCAGCGGAAATCGCGACGATTTGGCACCAAAGGAAAAAGGTCTGTATCTGTACACGTAAATCTGTCCTCGGGGGATAAGCCACAAGAGAAAACAAACATTCTGCTATTCCTCGTGAAGCGACAACTGCAGAAAAGTGACTTCAAGTTTGCCCACAACAGCCACCTTGCCAATTTGCCAATTCTCCCAAGCAGACGTTCTTTGGGGTTCGTCACGCGTTCCTGTCCCACTAACGTCTGCTGACTCGAGCGATAAAAAAAAGTAGACCAATCGCAGCAGATCTGGGAAGTGCACTTTGGACCTTGAAAAATTTCGCGCGAGACTCAGCTCCAGAAAGATATGAATGGTCTCGAGAGGAGAAGGCCTTATCCTTTTAGAGCAAACTACTCAGTTAACTCACACGACTTCGTGCTAAAGATTGCCCACGCGTTCTAATTGAAAAAAATACTTTAATTTGCTGAACGGAAGTTGGCTTTACTTTATCAGCAAATAACATGTAATCCAGCCTTTACAAACAGGAATATACAAAACGCCAACGCCTATCTCCTAGTATCACACTCTACCGAGCTTGTACGTATGTGTTTGGCTTGTTAACATTTTGACCTCAACAGCACCGATTGATTCTCCGATAATCTGCACGTGAGCTCCAGCTGAAATTTGCGACCAATGGGAAAGGAATTCCATCACTTGTTTGTTAGTGGGGCAGGAACGCGTAACAAACCCCTAAGGACGTCTGCGTGGGATTCTAATTTCTAATCGGAGAAGAATGCCCCAAGGTGACGGTAATGGGTTTTGCGCTTTGCCTAAGACATCCTTAAGAGAAAAGTAACCCACGGATTTGCCGGAGGCATCATGTACTATACGCTGTTACGTTGTCTCTCGATCCAGCTTTACAATGTCTCGATGTAGAAGGTATGTCTTGGGAATTAAATTTTCTGGCAACAACTCGATGTGGCCCTTGAGAATTAAGAGCCTTAAATTTATCTGATTGTCATACGCAGTGTACTTTTCTGGGATTCTCCATCCCTCTATCCGACGACAACATTTTTCACCAACGAACTTGTTAAGGGCTAAATTCTTGCTAACGACACAGCATACTTACCAGATTGATCGAGCTGAATGGTTTTGACTTCCAGTTAAAAATTCCGTTCCAAGATCTCATCACTAGTTAAGCCAAGGTGGTCTAATGTCCAGAAGTCCTGTAGTTGTTCATGAACAGGATTCAAAATGCGTGGGCACCTTTACATCTGCCACCAGGATAGATAAGCCCCTCCCCCCACCCTAGGGGAAAGAAGGGCGGATCATGTCACAATTTTAGCGTCGTGCCTTAAACAATAGTATCATAGCAAACTTCTCCAAACACAACACTTTTGTTATCTGCATCAAGGCCAGCAACCTCTCGAAGTACTTGATAAGCCTTAGGCTCCAACCTTTCACGGACACCAGACAAAACATCTATCACTACAGCTTGAAATGTGAAGCTATTTGCAAGGTTTGCTCCTCGTGCAGTCAGCTCAGCAACATCAAATTTATTGTCCAATACATCACCACGGGTCCCAATCCACAGTCAGCGTTTTCCAAGAACTGTCATCATGATTTTCCATCAAACCAGATGCAGTGCTGGGGGAGATTTTTCCTTCACCAAGGGTTGACGTTTAGGCCTGACTGGTCGGCAATCTCAGGGATTTCCAATTTTTCTCTCGGCTTTCCCGCTCGTGTCAAGCTCTTCGTTACACCCGAGAAAAAAACCTCTGGTACCTAGGGTAATTCCCACTCCAAGAACAGAAATAACTTATTACGCCGTCTTTGTAACACGAATTACTCGTACCAGAATCCTTTACTATCCTTGTCTTAGAACATTACGCCATCTACCTATATCATTTCTGTTGTCACCCGGGTTTCTAGGAGCTGTCTTTGAGAAACCAAACAATAAAATACCAGAAGACCTATAGCTAATAGTTTCTGAAAATTAAACCAGCTTTCAGTCAAAAGAATGTTCAAACTCGCTTACATGAACGCGCATTAAAAAACAAACCTTCTGAGCATTCACGGGGTTTCGAAGAGCTTCTCTGCCATCCTTTGCAACACCTTAAGTAAACATCTAATCCTTGTCTGGTTAGCTTTTTACTGGCCTGTTTGGTCTTTTCTCTAAGAAAAGTGAGAATAATTGTAGAGGAACTAATTGCATTCGCTCTTAGACCATAAGTTTGATAAACGTTATTTAAACAGGTTAATAAGTGGTATGGTATGGAACTCTTTCACTCGATTATATTTACTAGAAAGAGGATGTTTTCCATGTTCTGTAACAAAATATTTTACGCTTTAGATCTATAAAACTGCTAGCGAATAGAAAACTAGTACATTCAGCTGTTTATAGACCTCAAAAGTGCGTGTTGTTTCCTTACAGAACACGGAAAACAAGCGGGGGATACTCCCTTATGCGGCCTAAATGGTACATGAGGACGGTCCGTTAGACAGGGTATGGTTTTTGTCCTCTCTGTAATAAGCAGGGTTTATAATTTCGGGTCAGACTGTCCTAAACAGGGTATTAAATTTTGTGCAAGTCTTGTCCTGATTACAAACAGGGTATTTTATGCATGATTGATGAATTTTGTTTGTATTTCAAGGATACAAAAACAAAGACTAGAACTTGAATTTCGTCAATTTGAATTGCCAATAAATAAATTGAAAACTAGACGGTGTACGTTTTATCCTTTGTTCTAAACAGGGTATAATTATAGTTTAGGATTTTTTTTTGTAACAGGGTCAAGTTTTCAAACCCTCAGCGGCTCACCTATACCCAAGTATTGGTCGAGCACTGCCCTTTCCCCCAACCCAGGGAAACCATCTTTTCTTTGATCTATGATACATACAGAACATACACATAAGCTATGTTCTGAATACTATCTAATTATAGCCTCATAATGCATTCTTGTTGCAGGGAGATGATTTATCATTATAATCCACTGAGACCTCACTAATTATAATTTTGACTGTCTTTCTTGCTTTTTCTTGTTTTCCTCAAAATAGACATATGGAAGGTGGATTCGTTTTAGCATTAACATATCCGCTCACCTCCATCTTTGACAACGCGCCCAGCAAAGGAATCCGCAACAAGTTGTGTATCCTGACATATATGTTGTCGCATAGTATGTAGTAATTGTATAAGTAATAGGAATATCTACCCTGCAGACATGGGCTCTGTTGAGAAGAATAAGAGTTGTGGGTATTTGTCCTTTCTCTCGTTGTAGTTGTCTCCATCCAGCAACAATCCATTCTCACCCCTTCTCTTTACTCCTTAATGCTTCTTTCACTGCTGCAATTTTTCTTTACCGATACCCAGTTTTCAAACTATTTCTCCGTTTTTAAGAGGCTTCGATCAGCGCTCGTTAATTTTTCAAAACAAACGGCTGAACTAATCTGGTAGATTTAACTCATAATTGGTCTATTTTCTTATGGAAGATTAATCTCAATAAAGTAAAACCGAACTGACGAGTTGAATCTACTAGGAAACTTGGTTTCTTAAACACTGTTTAAAAATGGTATCAATTAGCAAACGCTAAAGGGTCAAACATATGGGATATATTAGCTAACTAAAAGTTGTTTATACTTGTCGGTAACCGGAATTTCCATCGATATTGACGTGGCGTGCTTTCGATTAGTGTGTGACTGAAATTTTATTTAGACAGCCTTTGTTACGAGTTGATATAGATATTGGGAGACATGGAGTTGGTAAGGAACCGATTTGGTCTCCATGTAGGTCGCGATGTTAAATTTAAATAAAAAATCGAATTACGAATTACGAATTTTTTTTATCCTTAAGTCCAACATTATTACATTATATACTTGGTGCTTTCTATACGTTTGTCAACCCACTTTCCTTTAAGTCGATCATACATGTATTCCGAGTTTTTTTTTTCAGCCGAGTAATTAAAAAAGAAAAACAGCAAAAGGGCGGAGCGTACATACAAATTTCTTGAATAAACCTTGCAAATGTGGAAATAACGAGATAGTTTTTTGGCTTTGTTTATCTTTATTTTTGTCAACGAGTTATTGCTAATTTTTTCTGTTTTATGCAATTCTTCTCGTGTAGCAGAACATCGACTTGCTGTTTCAAATACAATGTTGCCTGTGCGATGCCTGTGTCGCGTTTGTTCCAGATTACTTAGGGGTTTATTTGGAAACAGCGTCCATTTAAAATAACGCATACATTTCTACATTATAAGTGTGAAGGCATTTCTGTCTTATTCATAGACTGCGAGCAGTCTCTAGGGTGACACGCTCAAGCCGCGAGAAACGAGGGCCGGATATGATAAAGCCCGAGGAGGAAGAAATACAATAGTCTCAGTCCAGTCCCTTTTGGTTATAAAAGCGTTTTTTGTCCCCACGCGCTCACTGTCTATGAACGCGATGGATCTAAGCATGGATCTAAAAGGAGAACTGCAAGCAGCGTAATGCCAGTTGATTTCTATAAAGATGCTTTACTTTTAACCTAGCAGACAATGAGCCAGCATACCGTCCTCAAACTAAACAGCAAAGGTTAGAGGAAATTATTTGGAATAACAAGTTTATCAAAATTGATGGTCAATCGGTCTATTACAAGGAAGGGATACTGCTGGAATTCCACGTTAATAAAGCAAAGCTTCAAAATACATTGAAAAGGAAACGAAAGAAAAATAATAATTACAATACTTATACAATTAACTATTTTCACAAAGGGCTGGGAAATAAAAATAAGTTCATAAATAAACTGTAAAGAAAAATGCTGAGAGAAGAGGTTTAAAAAATGGTTCCGTTTACTTCAAGAAATAACAAATTTTGAGTTACCTATGACTGTTCTTTAGACCTTAAAATAAGTGATAAAACTGTGGTGGCAGTAGAGCATGGCAGATGGGACATGTCACTTGTCAGCACCTCAAACTGCAAACCCCATTTTTTCTTAAATTTCTTTTTTTACCACACTTTTTAGACGGGGTTTAAGATGTCGATGGCGTACATCTTAGGAATCAATTCGTCTATTACGATAAAAATTTCAGAGGAAGTAGACGATACGATGTTGACATGACGACGTGTATGAGAAGTCACGTCATCGAACTATGACGTTGTGTTTGCTATCGGCTCAAAAATTCAACATTACGGCTGCTGGTTCTAAAACTTCACTATATCCTTTAACACAAAGTCCCTAGAAAATGCCAATGCATGTTTTACATACAACAAGTGTTTTTAATGTTAAGAGAAAAGGTTTTGGGCAACTATTTTCATTCGTCTTCGTGGTAATCATCCAGGATACTGTTGCTACACTCATTGTCACAGTTGTGGGCGGCGGTACAGGACAATTCAACATTCCCGCAGCTGGATCTTGCGTTGCATCCTTTTTGCGATCTGCAGACAAACAGTTCAAGGAGGCTCTGAGGAGCTAAAATTTTTCTCATCAACAAAGGTACAAGATTTCCCATTTCGTCCTATGTCCATCCATTTTGATCAGGTGACTCCAATTACAGGATGCGATTTCTAGCATAATTCCAGATGAAGCACTGGCAGTTAGCTCGTTTGACATGATACCAAACACTGTCATCTGCTGAGGAAAGTTTGCTGCTGTCCACGTTCGTTTTTGTGAAAAGTTTGTACCTAACTGAGTTGATTCACACAAAAGTCCGATAAATTTGAAAGAAACGAAGACATTTCATCACTAAGGGCTGCGTAGTCTGAGCCACGATTCTTTAGCCCGTCAAGTTCAATTTTCTGCTTTCTTGCCAAGGGGAGTGCCACAGAGGCTACTTGTGGACTCACATCCCATTTAAACGTACATTGCCGGTAAAAGACTGCAGACATCTGCGCCCAATTTCGCGACGGCCTGATACAAAGGAATGAATGTTCGGTTCTTTGCCGTCCCTGTGAGAAACCAAAGGTCTTGAATTTGGAGGTTTCACTTAAGTGAAATAGTACAATGGAGCTTAAAGTGATATGTATTAAGTAAGTTACACTGGCAGTCACTTACATAGTGGAAGAAGTTTGGTCCATGTGTTCTTAAATTACTCTAAGCGGCTAGATCTAAAAGCTTAGTGTTTTGGAAAATATCGATTTTGAAGGCGCAGTAAAAAACTGTCAAATTGCAGGATGCCGTGGCGTACGCTTGTTAAGTTAAGATATTTTATTATCTAAGGATACATGAAAGGAAACGTCAGAGGTTATCCCTATCGAAGATGCTTTTTTTAGCACATAAAATATAAAATAAATATACTTCAATGTAAAATTTAAGACTAAAAAAATTACAAAATTTTACAATACTTCGAAAAGTGCTGAAATCCTGTTAGTGCACCATCTCGTTAGGAAGAGCGTTCCACTGTTTAATAACCTAACAAAGAATGAGTGCAAAAAACAATTTCCTTTAGGATGGCTGTCTTAATTTAAATGCATGGTTTGATCTTGTTTTACCATAACAATTAAATCCAAATTTATCAGTAAAGTTGAAGCCATTAAGACCATGAATAGTCTTGTAGCGCTCTAACAAAGATAGGTAGGACCTCCCTGACTGAAGACTGGACCACCCACGCATTTCCAGTCTTTCTTCGTACGGAGAGTCCTTAGACGACATCGGGACAGCGTATTTCGAGGCCCTACGTTGGACTCGTTTAAGAGCGTCAATGTTCTTCTGTAAATAGGGTGACCAGAGAAGGGAGAGCATATTCCAGAATGGGTATACCCCAGACCTTGTACAGACGAGAAAAGACTTCCTTGTTCCCTGGACCAACATTCCTTTTAAGGAAACCCACAATCTTGTTGGCTTTATTTACAACTTTCTGTGTTTGGGTGTTCCACGATAGATTAGAAGTCAATGAGACCCCAAATCAACCGTTTCGGTGACAGACCGAAGCGTACAACCAGAGAGCTCCTAAGGATAGATAGTATGATCTTTCGCATGGGTAACACGTAGAACCTCGCATTTGTCATGGTGAAAACGAAGTTGTCAATTTTCACTCCATTTCTGCGGCGGGTTGAGGTCACATTGAAGTTGTTTCTCGCCGTTTGCTTGTTGCAAAAACCTGATACTTAGCGAAAATCAAACAATAATTAAGAACTTTCCAGTTATTCAACCTTTTGTGCCAACCATATTAAAAAGTACTTTCGGTATATTCAGTTTTTGAATTAATTCTTTTTGCCACCTGTTTGTAAAACAAGTCCAAAACGAAGAGGATGTGTCTTAGATATAGACGTCAAGGTTACATAAAGGAAAAACTTCACTATCAGTCATGCGTCCGTGAAAAACGCTAGATTGAGTAGGTAAAACACTGAATAATGTTGACCTGGAACATGATCAATTTTGGTTCTTTCAAGATTTTGAACGGAAGCATGCGTAGAGGTCAGGAATTGTGTCGTTGGTGAACCCATGACTTAAGATTCCAGATTCAGCAGTGGGTACCGAGGAGCTTGTGCCAAGCATGGCAGAGTAGACATCTTTAATGCTGTGACAAGTACTGCCCCTTTCCATTCTGTTGGTGTGGCTCTTAAGAGGCCGTAAAAAGTGGCGAAAAGAAATTCAAATTATATATATTTTTTTTATATCTGAAAGCAGAAGAAATCTAAGATTATCATCTAAAAGGTCTTCGATGCAACGAATCACAATTAAGCACCGGGAGTTAATAAACATTGGTTTTCCATCTATACGTATGTTACGGTTGTTCCAGGTAATGATGATTTTTTTAAGGAAATTTGCTTGTCACACGTAGGTCAGACGTAAGTCATGCCAGTGATTTAAAACGGCATGGCAAAATTCCGGGAGGCTCTCTAAGTTGAGTAGGTTAGGATTGAAAGACTTACGCAAGCTTACGTACAGCCAGCGATCGGCGTTACCGGTACGTCCTTGGGGTCCCCGGGGGTTTGCCCAACGCAAAACCCTCGAAAGCCAGCTCTTTTTATGTCCAGTCCAAGGATGTGTATATAAGCACCTTTCAGTGTCCGGACTTACATTAGAGAAAATATCAGTTTCTCGAGGAGAAGCACAGCCTTTTGGGAAGTTTACCTCAGCTGAGCGCCCGGGGAACTCTCTATGATAGTAGCGTATACGGCAACTGGCTCCGCCCGAAAGGGGTAGCTAAGGTTTCAGGTATATTGGAGGGTACGGATTTTAATATTAAAAGCATATATGAACGGTTAAGAAAAGGACCTAAAATTAAAGGAAGGATTAAAACACAAAATGCATAGAAAATATCTTGGTTTTTTATCTATTCATACAGTTTAAAAAAAGGAAAAAGAGAGGGACAGTGCATTCAAAGCAGTTTTTGTTATGTTATAAATGGGTAATGGGTTCATTCCTGGGGCAGTGACTCCCCGTATAAAACTTTGTTAGGTACCCCGTGTCGTTGAGCGTGTCAATGTTGCCTTTGATATGCTAATCTGGAAAACGAAGATATTTCAGTGAAACTGGTCGATGAACGCGTAAAATCGTGCTCTTGTAACTAATTACTGAGATTTTAAGCATGTCCACCTACTCTCTTCTAACATTCCCCAGCACAGTATTCTTCCAATTTCATTGCGTAACAACAGAAAATCTGGTAAGCTGATAAGCAAATTTACCCTGTTGGGACTGAGTAGTTGAATGGCCTTACCGGTAAATCTCCTGGCATCTAAGCTAACGAGGGATTGTGTCTCACGGCTTTTGCGCGTGCGAAGATAAGGTGGGGCAGGGAGTCGGGGTGTGGAACTGGGGTTATGGATGTTACTGACGCTAAGTGTAAAAGACAACCGAAAAAAAAAAAAAAAAACAAGTTTCAGCTAAATTTAAATCTAGGCCTAGACAGATTCTGCTTTTAGCAACTTGTACGATTTTGAGCTACTTTTTCGATTCTGAGCAGCTTTTCGGAGAGTGAGCCACTCTCAAAGTTATTACATGTTTAGCATATTTTCACTATTTTAAACTTACATTCATAAATAATTGATATTTCAACACGTTTTCTTTGGAAATTCACAAGGAATTTCACAAGAAAATTTCTTGCGTTTTGATCGGTTGGGTATCATATGTTGAGAGATTTCAAATATGGATGTCCCAGATGTGACTAGATGTCCATAATGGATGGCTGTCCTGTGATAATATTCCAAAATGGTACAACAGAACGTACATTAAAGGCAGCACGCTGTACGCCTTTGCTGTCCGTTTCAGGTTCAAGGATTAAGGCCGAAAGCTGTCTCACTGGAAGAGCTTAAGATGTTCTCTTTGTGGATGACAACATCATAGCAAATTAGGAACTAGGAACGCAGTCAGTTATCTTTACGCGTTGCTTGGACCTCTGCATTCAAACAGTTTTTCCTTTTAGCGACAAAGCTTCCTGCCAATCTTGCAGCTGCTGACGACCTTGTTTACTCGAGTGATACACGTTGCAGTAGTTTTAGGACGTCTCAGTTTTATTTTCTCAATATTTCAGCTAATTAGATCTTTTTTTTTTCTAGATATCAAACGATGGCAACCAGCACGCAGGATCTTGGTCCACGTCTTCTGCAGTTTTTTTTTCTTAAATCGAAGTGGAAGGTTGTCATAGTGTGTTCAACCAGTCAGTTCAGTTTATTTTCTCTCATATTTTAACTAGTAATACGTTAGAGCCTTTTTAAAGATTGTTGTTTACAATTATAAACGATTCTTCTACGATTCTATTCTACGAAACTTTAAGAGGTAAACTCCAGAAGCCGCAGACGAAGATTCTGGTCAGTATCTCATGTAAGACTCCATAACATGTCCCAAATATACCTTACTTTTTAAACATGTTATTGTCTGTTTTCCTTGGTTTTCCTATGTGTTCTCCTGTTTTCGTCTGTTTTCCCCTGTTTTCCCATGCATGTTTTCCTATCTTTTCCCCTGTTTTCCTCTGTTTCCCCTTGTTTCCCTATATGTTTTCCCTGTTTTCCTATGTTTTCCCCTGTTTTCTTCTGTTCTCCCAATATTTTCTCCTGTTTTCTCCTGTTTCTCCCTGCTTTCCTATGTTTTCCCCTGTTTTCCTATGTTTTCCCCTGTTTATCCCTGTTTTCCTATGTTTCCCCCTGTTTTCCCACGTTTCCCTATGTTTTCCCTGTTTCCCCTGTTTTCCTCTATTTCCCCCTGTTTCCCTATGTTTTCCTATGTTTTCCCTGTTTTCCTGTTTTTTCTCTTGTTTTCCTATGTTTTCCCTTGTTTAACTATGTTTTACTCTGTTTTCCTATGTTTTTCCCTTTTTCTATGTTTTCCCTTGTTTTCTCCTTTTTTCCAGTGTTTTTCCCTTTTTCTCCTACGTTTTACATTTAGCATAAAGAAATGAATTTGCATCACTGAGAAAGAACTCTCGATTACTTGCAGAAGAAATATCCGGAATATGCTAATAATTGGCTTGGGTCGCAGATGGCAGTGAGAGGCGAGACGGTGAACGTCACGGTTCATCTTGTAGGATGCAACACTTAGTTATCTTACTCGGGTTATAACATCACAGAAACTCTTACAAAGAGTTGCGCTGATGTTATAATATATCACTAATTTCTTTACCCGGTTATTAGCCTATTTCGGAGATTAAACTGAGCGTCCTTTTAATTTGATGCAAATTCTATCTTTCTGCTAAATGTGCACGTGCATATGAAACTTGAAAACATTGCCAGTGAATAATGAGGACGCTCACTTGTAAAAAATTGGTTATATTTGAGGCCCTATTTAAAAGCCTTCCCTGTTACTTGCAGGGTATATTTATTGGCTCCCCGTATAAAACTTTACGGAGATGGCGTAATCTTTACCATCACTTGTTTGTGCAGAAGAAAACATAGGAAAACAAGGAAGAACTTTTGAAAACAGGGGAAACATCTATTAGGAAAACAGGGGAAACCAGAGGAAAACATAGAAAAACAGGGGGAAACAGAGGATAACATGGGAAAACAGGGAAAACATACTTAGGAAAACAGGGAAAAACAGGGAAAACATAGGAAAACAGAGGAAAACATAGGAAAACAGGGGAAACATAGGAAAACAGGGAAAAACATAGGAAAACAGGGGAAAACATAGGAAAACAGTAGAGAACAGGAAAAAACATAAGAAAACAGGGAAAAACAGAGGAAAACATATGTCGTGAATGCCGAAGGGCCGTTCTTCACGATATCACAGTTTTAAAGTAAAATAGGGTTTATTTGACAGCTTCGATCCCCACAGTACAACGGCTCGCTCACACACACACAAAATCGTGACTTTCTTGAATCTATAAGCTTTAGATTTTAATGCGATCTGTCATCAAGTTCTCTGTCGCTCTGACAGACGAGTGAAACTATTAATAACAAAATCAAAGGAATAAAATCACGCCATCTCACAATCACGCTACACTCTTGCTTCATAACACTCTCCCCCTGTTCATCGCCAATAGTGATGAACAATTCGATTTTCCTAATCATAGTTGCAATGTCTCTAATAGAAATGTTCAAAGATCAGTAGTCATCATCAGTAAGTTCGGCAGCGTCCTTTATCCTGGCACGTGCTGCCACAGCAGCGTCTCTTGACGGCCTGAAGACTGGTGCTTCAGCGCTGAGGGTGGCTCTCGGCATAGCTGTTGTCCTGTCACAGGACAGCTCCATTGGATAAAGGTGTTGGACAGGGCTCTCCAGATAAGACTGTCCTGCTCACAGTTTAGCCCCTCTGACAACTCCTTCTCGTCCAGTAATCAGCTCTTCGACTGTTCCTAGCTTCCACAATCCACAATTTTTTTCGTCGCGTTTAATGATAACAACATCTCCCTCAGCTAGAGTCACCTTACTTCCTTTGTGTTTTAAATTGTGCTGCTCACGCAAGCCTCTTAGGTATTCTGACGACCACCTCCCCCATAGTGCGTCTTTACATTTCTTCAGGTACCATGCACTCATGATCAGGTCTTTGTTCTCCAACTGATGGTTCTGTGTTTCAGGCAATAGATTCGTGCAGCCAAACTGCAACAGGTTGGGGGTCAATATGGGTAATTGAATGTCCTCTTTAACGTAGCTCAGCGGGCGGTTATTCATGGTAACTTCAACGTCCAGAAGAACATCCTGTAGCTCGCTCCAGGTAAGCATACCGTTTCCCACTGTCTTGTTAAAGGCTCTTTTGACAAGACCAACCATCCTCTCAAATTGACCTCCCCACTAGGGTGCTCTTGACAGGTTGAACTGCCACTTGACGTCGACTTTGGCTAGGAAGTTATGCAGGCGCTCATCTTTCATCACGTTTCTCAGCCACTTCGCTGCTGCCACGAACGATTTACCGTTATCGGAATAGATTTTCTCTGGACGGCCCTTTCTGGCGATCAGGCGCTAAGGGTGCTGATGAACTCGTTAGTCTCCAAGGTTTTGGTAAGCTCTAGGTAAAGTGCTCGTGTCAGGCTACAGGCGTACAGGACAATATAGGCTTTCCCTTCTCTGTTTTTGCTTGTGCGGTACTTGATGGGACCGGCGTAGTCAACACCAACTACTTGAAATGGTGAATTTCCTTCAGTGCGGTCACGAGGTAAATTTCCTTGAGGCGGATTGGCGAACGCAGCGATCTGAAACCGTTTGCATCCGTAACATTGCTTGATTACTCGTTTAATAAGCTTGCGCAACCTTGGTATCCAATGGGACTCTCGCACTTTGGCCATGGTTAGTCCTACTCCCCCATGAAGAATAATCTCATGAGCGTGTTGTACGAACTTCAGGGTGTAGAGAGCACTATCAGGGAGATAGACGGGATAGTTTCCCCGGATTCTTCCACGGCACTCGAGAACCTCCTTTCGGTTAGGCTGCAGGTTAAGTCTTAACTGGTCTTCCTGGAATTGATCAGATCCCTTCCACTGTTTTTGAGTCTTCTTCTCCCAGAACAACCTTCTGCTTGTTAATTTCCTCGGTAGTCAATGGACCTTTGATTCTCTGATTTCTTGGGGATTTGCTGTTGCGCAGGAATCGTGCGACCCACGCCCCACTCTCAATGTGCGCCAAAGGGATGATCTTAGTAACAGTTCGTCCATGACATCGTTGCTTTCTACTGCTAAGGCAAAAATCTGCTTGGAGGCTTTCGCTTCTGCGTTAGATTCTGGGCTTGCAACCGTTATGATGTCCGGCGGCCAGCTGTCTTGTTCCTTCAACCATGTTAGACCATTCCACCACAACGAGTTATCTTCCTTTACTAGTCCTCCTCTACTTGCTAAGTCTGAAGGGTTTTCTTGGCTCGGTACATGCCTCCATGTGATTTCAGTTTTCTCTCTGATCTTGCGGACGCGGTTGCTGACAAACTGCTTATATTCCCCGGAGCCCCTTATCCAGTGTAGGGCGACACTACTGTCTAACCATGCGTACAAGGACTTAACTGGAAACCCGATCAGCGCATCTCGTACATTGGTTAGCAAGTTAGCCGCCATATGACCAGCCACTAACTCAAGTCTGGGGATAGTGAGACCTTCTTTGGCGAGGCGTGCCTTCGCTGCGACGAGTCCCTGCGTCACCACTGAATGTTGCTGGACCAATGCATAAACAGCTGCTGCTAATCCCTGTCCACTTGCATCGCCAAAGGCATGAAGAGTAATTTCACGGATTTCTTCTCCGGCTACAGCTAAGGACCTGGGCACTTCAACTTGATCAGGGAAAAACAGGGGAATCATAGAAAAACAGGGAAAACATAGGAAAACAGGGGAAAACATTGGAAAACAGGAGAAAATAGAAAAACAAGAGAAAACATAGAAAAACAGAGGAAAACAGGGGAAAACATAGAAAAACAAGGGAAACATAGGAAAAGAGAGGAAAACATACGGAAACAGGAGAAAACAGAGGAAAACAGGGTAAAACATAGGAAAACAGGAGAAAACAGGAGAAAACAGGAGAAAACAGGGGAAAAATGGGGAAAGCATAGAAAAATAGGGGAAAACATGGGAAAACAGGGGAAAACATAGAAAAACAGGCGAAACATAGGAAAAGAGAGGAAAACATACGGAAACCGGAGAAAACAGAGGAAAACAGGGGAAAACAGGGGAAAACATAGAAAAACAGGAGAAAACAGGAGAAAGCATAGGAAAACCGGGAAAAAATGGGGAAAGTATAGAAAAATAGGGGAAAACATGGGAAAACAGGGGAAAACATAGAAAAACAGGGGAAACATAGGAATAGAGAGGAAAACATAGGAAAACATACGGAAACAGGAGAAAACAGAGGAAAACAGGGGAAAACAAGGGAAAACATAGAAAAACAGGAGAAAACAGGAGAAAACATAGGAAAACAGGGAAAAAATGGGGAAAGCATAGAAAAATCGGGTCAAACAAGGGAAAACATAGGAAAACCAAGGAAAACAGAAAATAACATGTTTAAAAAGTACGGCATATTCGTGACATATTATGGAGTCTTACATGAGTTACTAACCAAGATCCTGCTAAGTCAGCTTCCGGTTTGAAGTGTATTGCACTTCCCGTTCTGTTGCACGAAACGTGACATTCCCGCTCGGTGATATACAAGTATATGGCACGGGATGGGAAGACAGTATGCTGTTGCATATCTTTGATAGGCTTTGAAAAAATGGTAGGTGCATAAATAGGGTTTCTTAGTATCATATTAAGAAAGTTACAATTCCACGCTGAATTGCGTGAGTTATGAATTATTTTTGTAAAAAGTTATGACATTTCAATGGGCTTTCGACCGCGATAACTTACAAAGAGTATAGATATTGCAAGACACAAAATGTCATTTGTTAGCAAACAGTTCCCAACAAAATGCGCAGAACAAGGCATATAGCTGCTTAAAACCAAATTGTCTCGGCAAATGGAAAGAATTCCATGCGGAAAAACGCATAAGTATCTTGTTAACCGGGAGTATCGTTGTTTTCGCCCTTCGAATGTCGTGACAAAATGGCGTGTTTTGACCTCAAGGGTCGCTTTTGTTTGGCGTTCAAAAATTTTCTCTGCAAGATTGCCCCAAAATTTTATTGCATTTGTTTGAGGAAGACACGTTGCTCTTTTTATTGGTAGGAAAGTTATGGCTCAAAGCCGTATACCAAGAAGTGATTTTTGTGTCTAAAATTTGCCAATTTTATGTCTGTCAAAAATCGGTAAAACAAGTAAAAAAATCCGAAAAATATTAGATTTGCTGTCGAATAGGAAAATTTTGCATGGAAACTGTTGGCTAAGTTGTGCTCTTTTAATCAAGATTTTCAGAGGCAGAGTTTGTTACTTCTTTTATTTTTAAACGATTTTTAAGTAATATATGGTCTTGAGCCTGTGAAAACTGATCTGATAGCCTGTTCCAGGCGTTCAGATAGTAGAGCTCGGCGGTAAGTGGGGAGAGAGTTAAGCCGCAATAAAAAGATTAATGCTTTAACAGAGGTCAAAGAAAATCATTATTTTTAATAACTGCTTCTGGAATCAAATTCTTTCAGAAACAAACCGCAGGAAATAATTGCCCAGCATGCATGACTGACAGTCTAAATGTTAGACTCAGAGCGACAGAAATAAGATTTGCTTAGTTAAAAGAAGGAAAACCTCTGATGTTGTTTATTGAAAGGTAACTCAAAGGTCACGTTTCACACCACCACGAGCTTATGGGTCGCGTCTAGCCTGTCAGCACTTTCTAGTTCATGTAACAGTTACGCGGTCGGCGGTCAATTAAGGGCGGAAAGAGCTCTCTAAGGGAATGTTTACAGGCGGTCTCTCTCCCCCCGGTCTCCCCTCGTTTTTATTTTCTTCGGGAATTTTTCTCCCGCGCTCTACTGACAGGCTAAGAGCTTCCGAACCGACTCGATCGCCGTACGCGTAAAATAAAAATCTAATCGAACTAAAAGTTATTTTTCTAGAAGTAGTTTACCTACACCTATATTCCGACAAAGTTTGAGGATTTTCGATTTTTTCATTTTGCACACCCCCAGTCGATATTTACGGACGGCCGCTCTTAAATTGCTCAGTCACTTCGGGTTTGAAGTGCATTGCATTTCATTCCTGCTCGGTGATGTGCAAATATTTGGCATGGGATGCGAACATACAGTATGCATATCTTTCATACGCTTAAAAAAAATGGTAGGTGTATAAATAAGGGTGTTTACGTAGTATCATGTTAACAACGTTACAATTCCCCGTCGAACCGCCTGAATTACTGTGAGATCTAAAAAGCTATGAAGTTTAAAACCCCTGACAAGCGCGACAATTTACCAAGAGTGTAGATATTGTTAGAGGCAAAATGTCATTTGTTAGCAAACGGTTCCCAACAAAATGCACTGTACAAGGCATATAGCTACCTAAAAACAAATTGTCTTAGCAAATGGAAAGAGGTCTGTGAGAAAAAACGCATAAATATCTTGCTGACCGGGAGTATCACTGTTTTTGCATGCTCTTCGAACGTCGTGAGAATATGGCGTGTTTTGACCTTAAGGGTCGCTTTTGTTTGGCGTTCAAAAAATTTCTCTGCAGGATTGCCCAAAAGTTTTATTGCATTTATTTGAGGAGGACACTTTTTTCTTTTTACTGGTAGGAAAATTATGGCTCAAAGCTTTATAAAAAGTAGTGATTGTTAAGTCTGAAATTTGCCAATTTTGGGTCTGTCAAAAATCGGTAAAATAAGTCAAATAATTAAAAACCTTAAAAATATTAGATTTGCTGTCGAATAGAAAAATTTCACATCGAAACTATTGGTTAAGTTGTGCTCTTTCTATTAAGATTTTTAGAGGCAGAGTTTGTTACTTCTTTAATTTTTAAACGATTTTTAAGTAATATATGGTCTTGAGCCTGTGAAAACTGATCTGAGAGCCTCCGAACCGACTCGGTCGCCGTACGCGTAAAATAATAATGCAATCGAACTAAAAGTTATTTTTCTAGAAATAGTTTACTTAGACCTATATTCTGACAAAGTTTGAGGATTTTCGATTTTTTCATTTTGCGCACCCCCAGTCGACATTTACGGGCGGCCGCTCTCTAAGACTTTTTGAAATCATACTTTGTTTAGTAACTCATCCCTTCTACCCGAAACCCGGAAATGCAGCCTTGGGCTCCTGTGCTTCTTTTGGACTAAAACTTTAAAATGATTGGCGATCCAAAGGCACTTTACGGCATATGTTGTGATCCCAGAACGAAATTATCCCTATGGCACGGCGCTTAAAATGCGAGCCTAATTGCCCTTTATTTTAACAGCGTGAACGCCACCTGACAGCTCCGTAACCATGGTTTCTTTACCATGGTTTTCGTGCCACGTACAGATAAATGCATGCACTAAAAGCGATAGCATGCTCCTAACTAGAGAAGTAAATTGGCATACCCATTAAGATCCAAGCCATTTTGACGAAGACCTCCCTGCTCTAAAGTCTTGTCGAGATAGATGACAACTACCAGAATAGTCACTACAACTGAGGCCTTCTTATATCTCGGACAGGCCATCTTAAGGGAACTTTGATTTGTCCCGTGCGCTTGGTTGAAGTGTATCGACTGAAAAGATAAACTCCACTAATGACAGGCAGCCAGGGTTCAATATGTGCTATTTAATTCGATACCTTGCTTAAGGTGTTAAATGTTACAACTCGCCTGGCCATGCCGTGCCGAAGTTTTGATGAGGGTGATATATTTAACATTAATGCCATTCTTCGTCTCTCATCTTTGTCATTCAAAAATTTAATCCAGTTGAGTCAGTGGTGTAAAATATATATTAGATTTTTTTTCAACATTGTTTTCTTATGCCAACAATACGGTGGACCTTACTTCGTAGTTTCAGGTGATCATAGCAGTTTATATGTTTCACTTTGTTCGTTTTATTCATTACGTTTCTAAGGCCCCTGAACCAATCGATATTTGTTACCAAGCCAAATTCAGAAAGAGAAAAAAACAATGATTAGACAATGATCTTTTTGCCCATTTTTTTTTTCCTTTCCCCCCCCGCCTTTGCACATAGTTTTAGACTTGTAATATTCGTAACAAATCGCGAAACTGGGTAGTCATTCCTTGACATGAGACGAACAACCTCCCAAAAAGAATAATGTTTTTAGTTATATTTTGGTTTGATCGGTTAGTGTGTAGATGTATCCAGAGGCTAATAATGACAGGTTCTGAACCAGCTAAAAACACTTACACTTGCTGAATTTTTAATTATTATGAACTTAAACTAAATTAATGAGGCAGGTTTTTTAAACGGACAACCCTCCTAGTTTGCTTAACACTAATTTTATTTAAATTTTGTTTATCGTAAACAGTTACATGAAAACAAATATCATATACTAGAAAAGCATTTATGTTCTTAAAATAACCCACTTAGAAAGAGGTCTGTAGGTCCGATGATTTCTTAAGCCGCGTCCTAAGTTATAGACGTCGTTTGAAATAAGCGACCCATAAAGTTCTAGTTGTTTGCAATGTATTTCTACTAGATGTATACTAGCTCCACACCAGAGCATTCTGTTCATGTGAATCGTAATTCAATTTTCGATTCGAATGTTACTTGACAGCCCATTAATCCCTCAATGGCACGTGGTTAAGTCTGTTTCCAAGAATGGGAGACTACACTTAACCAAGATTAATAGATATTGGTGTCCGGCGCGTAGTTTCTTGTCACGCCATGTGAACTGGCCAATCCATTTTGAGAATAGGGCACGGATATCTTCACCAGAACGCATTTCTTCTCATAATTACATAGTACCGTATTATTAAGAAGAAGTAGCCATGTTCAGTATAACGTCACCAGTTTTTTTTGGCGATAGATAATCTTCTTTTTTAAAATTAATTCCAACATCAATGTCAAGAGCATTTGACAGTATTTTCCCTTTCCTCCTGACCGTTTCAGTCGTGAAAATCCTGATAATGCACGCAATCTAACTTGTTATTCTCCCTGAGCTTTAAGGGTAAATAGCATACTCAGCAAATTCAAATTTTCTTAAAATGCAATCCTTACATGTGTCAGGTGTTTGAAAGGGAAGGAGAAGGAAAAGGGAGGATTAAGGCACGCAAGAACGCAGAATAAAATAATTTTAACACAAAGGATAATAAAACATACTAGTATGTAATACAACTGGAAAGTCTGCTCAAATTCAGTCACTTCGCTTGCGACTAACTACCTTGACGACTTCGAAAACAACTCTTAAAAGTCAGGACGAATAAATGGGTGGATTAATGTGTTTGCAGCCGCCCCTCCCCCTCTGGGATCCTCTGGGAAAGGTCACGTCTGTACACAGACTCATGGCGATGGTAGCAAATGAACTGTCTGAGTGATAACACGCAACCAGGAGCGACCGAACAGGCTGTCTTCATAATAACCGTGCGTCGTCCACCTTTTCAAGTACGAAAAAGAATAAATTAATTTGCAAAAAAATGATTTAAAGAGAGAAATTAAGGACCTGAGCACCGGATTAATTTTGCAAGACATTAACATAACACCGATTATAGATCAACAATTAGCAGGGCTGCAATCTGAGACAATTGTTACTGTCTCTTGCGGAGAGTGAATTTTATTAATTATGAATCAGCCTGGCCGGTTTGTTTGGTATTTATTAATTATTTTACCTGATAAGGAAGGAGGCCAAATTAGAAGGAGATCGTCAGAAAATGAAATAGGTTAAAACAGCCACTCTGCACTTGCATCATGCACCCCACTTGGTACATTTCGTAGCCGTTAGTGTACGACTATGACGACCACGACGTGGAATTGTCCAATGAGTTGTTTAACGGAGGAGGTTAACACAAATTTACTTTGGATGATCTCTGAAAAGTCGTCTCCTGAAAGTACACCTACATTTACTTAGTGAGTTCGTGATGAAGTTTAAAAAAACGCACTGTCGCATATTTTATAGGTGACGATTACCCTTAGTGGTTAGAATACATGAACATCGGTTTTTTTGTTTTGTTTCGTTTTTGGTCTTCTTCTCAGCGGGCTACTACTATTATAGAGAAGGATAATTTTTACTTTTTATCTACCACAAGACACGTAATGACCCCGCATTGGAGGCATCGGCGGAGAAGCAGGGGACTGGAGCAGGTCTGCCGTTCTCTAAACAAAACAATGTCAAGTGGGGATTCTCCTCGTTTCCCACTTTTTGGCACGGTTTGGTATCCTGATATTAAACGTCGTTACTATATTTTAACAAATCGTTCAATTATTTTCTATTTATTATATTTACCTTTGCATTGAATTGGCGACCTCAGAAGGTGCATTTTTTTTGTTATGATGCACCATTAAGTAGGATCGTCTAAACAACTGGCTATGCGCTCGTTCTGCTAGCAATACTTCAAATCGATTACCGTCACACTGGACACTGACAAATTAAACGATTTTATAGAGGTCTGCTTAACATGAATTTCAACATGAAGAAACATGATGACTGAGGTCAACTTTGTGGTAGGTCAACAGAAGTGATAGATCGTGAAAGTCCATTAACCCTATTCAGACTGGGGGGGGGGCTTTTCGAACCCCCCCCCCTCCGGCAAAATCGTGATAACTCCTACACCGAAAGAGCTATGACGTTCAAATTTTCTGACTTTTCCTAAAATTTATCTAGGAACATTTTGGTGTAACTACCATGTCCATGTGATTAATCATGTTGCCATGGCAACCAGTTTCTGACACATAGGTTTTGGAAAATTTAAAAAATGGTGATTTTTTTGTTTTAAGATCACGTTTTTACACTTATAGTGCTTTTTGTTGTTAAAATGGTCTTTGCTTGGGACTAGTTTTTGAATTACATCAAAATGTTTCAACATCGAATATTTGGGGGGGAGGGGTGGGGTAAAATTTGTCACTTTTTTGCTTTGACAAATATGCTGCTCTATTTTCCAAATAACACTTCCGAAGTCATTTGTTTGGGTAATAAACATTAGTTTGATACTTCTTTTATACATTCTGAGCTTTTTCCCCTTTGAAAGTTGCTTTAAATTATAATTTTAACAAAAAAACGGAAATCCAAGATGGCGGATCCAAGATGGCGGACAACCATTTCAAATATTACATTTTATTGCTTCCTATTGCTTTTTCTCGCTGTACAAGTGTTTCCTTCTTACTAATTCATAAGAAAGGATAACAGAGAGATGACTTTACCAATATTATTGATATTTTACGTATCTAAGTGCAAAATAATAAGAAACATTGAAAAATCGGAATATGACGTCACTATGACGTCATCAATGAGCGTGGCAAGTCAAAGCTGGGTGTGGGGCTTCTTTGTACGGAGATGATCATTGTGTGTAAATTTCATGACCCTAGCATTATTGGTTCCAGAGATACAGAGGGGGGGTCCGAGGAGAGCCCCCAGTCACAGATTGACCAAAAAAGCCCAGTCTGAATAGGGTTAACGCTAATATCAAGATTCGAGCCATGTCCAGCCCTGGCCATGAAATCCAGAGTTTCTTCACTTCTTACTTAGTTCCTCACTTCCCAGAGGTGTGGAAGTGCGGAAAAGTCCGGCAAAGTAAGGATATTGTCTCACTTTCCCCCAGTCATGAACCCTTTGTCATTCTTTACTTAGTTCTACACTTCCCAGAGGTGTGGAAGTGTGGAAAAGTCCGACAAAGTAAGGATATTGTCTCAGTTTCCCCCAGTCATGAACCCTTTGTCATTCTTTGCTTAGTTCTACACTTCCCAGAGGTCTGGAAGTGTGGAAAAGTCCGACAAAGTAAGGATATTGTCTCACTTTCCCCCAGTCATGAACCCTTTGTCATTCTTTACTTAGTTCTACACTTCCCAGAGGTCTGGAAGTGTAGAAAAGTCTGACAAAGTAAGGATATTGTCTCACTTTCCCCCAGTCATGAACTCTTTGTCATTCTTTACTTAGTTCCACACTTCTCAGAGGTCTGTAAGTGTGGAATAGTGTGACAAACTAGAGATATTGTCGCACTTTTCCCCCAGTCATGAACCCCTTGTCATTCTTTACTTTGTTCCACACTTCTCAGAGATCTGGAAGTGTGGAAAAGTCTGACAAAGTAAGGATATTGTCTCACTTTCACCCAGTCATGAACCCTTTGTCATTCTTTACTTAGTTCTACACTTCCCAGAGGTGTGGAAGTGTGGAAAAGTCCGACAAAGTAAGGATATTGTCTCACTTTCCCCCAGTCATGAACCCTTTGTCATTCTTTGCTTAGTTCTACACTTCCCAGAGGTCTGGAAGTGTGGAAAAGTCCGACAAAGTAAGGATATTGTCTCACTTTCCCCCAGTCATGAACCCTTTGTCATTCTTTACTTAGTTCTACACTTCCCAGAGGTCTGGAAGTGTAGAAAAGTCTGACAAAGTAAGGATATTGTCTCACTTTCCCCCAGTCATGAACTCTTTGTCATTCTTTACTTAGTTCCACACTTCTCAGAGGTCTGTAAGTGTGGAATAGTGTGACAAACTAGAGATATTGTCGCACTTTTCCCCCAGTCATGAACCCCTTGTCATTCTTTACTTTGTTCCACACTTCTCAGAGATCTGGAAGTGTGGAAAAGTCTGACAAAGTAAGGATATTGTCTCACTTTCACCCAGTCATGAACCCTTTGTCATTCTTTACTTAGTTCTACACTTCTCAGAGGTGTGGAAGTGTGGAAAAGTCCGACAAAGTAAGGATAATGTCACACTTTTCCCCAG